ACATAGAATTTTTTATATCATATAGACAGTGAAGGCTTGTAATTTATGAGAGTCCTATCCAGAGACCTTTGCAAACTGCAGTTTTCTGAATCCAGTGCCCCCTCTGAAACACACAGAACCCAGCCCTGCCTTTGTCTTTTATACTCCCAGGGCCTCCCAGCCTCTACCAAGTAAGGTAGTAACCTCAGACAAATCTCCAAATAAATAATAATCCTATCATTCTTAGCTTAAATGCTGCATAAATAGAAAAGATTATTACTAAATGGGGAGGTATTCTGTACCCTAAACCCACTGACATCAAGGCCCAAGCTGGGTGAAAACTCTGGGGGAAGTAATCAGTCAACTGTTTAAAGGTGTGATCTGGGCAGGAGACCTGGTGATCTATGGTCTCCTTGGGATGAAGACGGGAACAGACACTGTGGCCCTTAGGGACTCAGAAGGATAGGAAGCTGATGACCTGCCTGGGGTAACTGCCCAAGCTGTGGACAACCAGGCTGGGGACATTCACATCAATGCTCAGTTACCTCTTTTCATAGCCCAGTCTAGGAGTTTTATTTCTTTCTCCCTTAACAATTTCTAGTAAGGGCTTCTCAGCTCTACGACCTCTGCCATGGAGACATTTCCATCTCCCTCCAAATTCTTTCCTCTCCTATCCTAAATCTCTTTAGCTTTAAGATACAAAGCAAAACCTAGAGCCTGGCCTCACCTCTTCCCTTGTATTCTAAGGATCACCTCCTTCCTGCTGATCTGACCTTTGCCCTCCTTCCTCTCTGCAGGTTGGTCTGCCTGCTGGGAATGCTTTTCATACTCTTCTGGGAATGTGTGCGCAAATGAACTGTGTAGGCGGTAATGCGGGAAGGATGCTGCTAGAGCTGCTGGGCCCCAGGAAGCTGGACTCAATTTGGGGAACTGGGAAACATCACCACCACCCTGAAGCACTTTGCCAGGCCATTCTCTGGTATGCAACCACCAGGGTATTGCTTTCCACAGGCTTGGAATCAAAGAGGCCCCACAGCGGTCAGGGGCCAGCAACAAGAGGCCAGCCCAACCCTCAAAGGGGAGAGGTACATTTTTCTGGGCAAGCTCCACATGTGTCATTAGTTAAACTACTGAGATTTTAAATATATTTTTTATACAACACAGAAGTCAATGTACTCATATATGGACAACTAAACCCTGCCCAACTCTGCCTTCATTAGCCATGACCAGAGGCAATTGCTTCTCAGGAGGTCACAGATGGAATAATCACAGCTGAAGGGGACTTAAACCAGGGCTAGGCATGTCCTCCTAGTGCTGGGCTCTTTTGCAGAAAGAAGGAGGAAGCCTTGCAACAGATAACAGTTGCTGAGAGAGGCAATGGGGTTAGGGTAGACTCATCCATAAAGCCTGCACCTGAGCACGTTTCAGCTGAGTCGAGGGACACTAATACCACGTTCAATTACTGGGCAAACCCACTGACCTGCTAGGGCACAGTGAGGATCAAGGGGCCAAAGACTCCTGACCAGCCCAACAGGAGTCACCAAGTCCAAGCACAAAGTCTATGAACTCCTCTCTTGGGAGGTCCCCCCTCTCAGAACCTGGCCACACATGGGCCACATGGCTAGGCCCAGTCTTAGCAAGCTTGGTCTTTTCTAATTGATGAATCCTTCGCATCCCATAGGCAGGCATCTGAGAAGATAGTTTGGAAGTGAAGGAAGAGGCAGAAACCATGAAAAGACGAAACTCAACAAGCCCAGCGCCCCAAGCAAGTCACGGGAGCACAGTGCACCTGAGCTCACAAAAAGAGGGCACAGAACTATTGGCTGACCATGAGCCTGCTGGTTGAAACAAGAACATCTCAAGGGCATCCCATACCCCAACTCTTGGGTTTCTACAGAGAGAAGCAGGTAATTTCCCCAGCAATTAGGCTCGGTGCCCATAGCTCAGTGAGTACGGCACTGGCCACATACACTGAGTCTGGTGGGTTCAAGCTCATCCTCAGGCCTGCTACACAACAATGACAACTGCAACCAAAAAATAGCCAGGCATTGTGGTGGATGCCCATAGTCCCAGCTACTTGGGAGGCTAAGGCAAGAGAATCACTTGAGCCCAAGAGTTTGAGGTTGCTATGAGCTGTGATGCCATGGCACTCTACCGAGGGTGACATAGTGAGACTCTGTTTCAAAAAAAAAAAAAAAATTCCCCAGCAATTAAGGAAGTGTCAGGCAGCACCTGTGGCTCAGTGGGTAAGACGCTGGCCCCTTATACCAAGGGTGGCGGGTTATAACACAGCCCCAGCCAGTTAAAACAGTAGTGGCAACTGCAACAAAAACAGCCAGGCCTTACAGCGGGCACCTGTAGTCCCAGCTACTCGAAAGGCTGAGGCAAGAGAATCGCTTAAGCCAAGAGTTGGAGGTTGCTGTGACCTGTGACGGCATGGCAGTCTACTAAGGGTGACAAAATAAGGCTCTGTGTCAAATAAATAAAAATAGCGTCAGTTAAAACAATAATGTTTCAACTTATATCTACAAAGATCAATAAATAATGAAAAATGTCTTAAAACAAATGACCCAGGGATAGCAAGGCGGCAGACAAATAAGAACCTTTCTATGCTATATTGCTACTGGCTACCCAACACCATCCCTTGAAAGTGAGGATGATTAAAGCCCTACCAATGCAGCTTTTGACCTAATCATCCCACTCCTGCCAACTTAAGCTAAATCCTGGGAATTTAGCTGAAAGAATTCTAAATAATAGGGGTAATCAAGGGAAGAAAGTTGTTTTATCAGTACAATTTGTTGGGGTTTTATTTTGTTTTTGAGACAGTCTCACTCAATTGCCCCAGGGTTGAGTGCTGTAATGTCATAGCTCACAGCAACCTCAAACTCCTGGGCTCAAGTGATTCTTTTGCCTCAGCCTCCTTGGTAGCTGGGACTACAGGCATCTGCCACGACATCCCGCTAGTTTTTCCATTTTTAGTAGAGACCAGGTCTCACTTTTGCCCAGGCTAGTCTCAAACTCCTGAGCTCAGGCAATCCACCCGCCTCCACCTCCTTATCAGTGCAATTTGTGAAGATTAAACACTGAGAAATGAAAACCAAATGTCTAACCATAGGGGAACATTGATACGTAATTCAAAGAAACAGGATGCAGTCAGTTAAAAGGGAAAGGGCAATTTATGGAACTATACTAAGTGGGAAAAAAAGTAGAGCAGGAAATTATGCAAGGACAAAGACTGTCTACAAACAAAGATTGAGGGGAACAACAGAAAAACATAAATAGCAGTGTTTGGGTTGTAGGGTTATGAATGTATTATCTTTTGAGTTCCTCAAAAGTATGTTTTGTTTTGTTTTTAAACAATAAACTTTTAGCAAAGTGGCCTGGCCTCGGTAAGGTATGCTTGTCACAATCTGCTGGGAATTAACTAACTCTTAGCCTTAGGGCATGCCACACCTCAGGCTGTGGAGATCCTCTCCTGCCTCAGCCTCCTGAGTAGCTGGGACTACAGGTCCACACCACCACACTCAGCTAATTTTTTCTATTTTTTGTAGAGATGGGTCTCACACTTTTTCAGGCCTGACCTCCAGGGACCCTCCTGCCTCAGCCTCCTAAAGTGTTAGGATTATAGGCATGAGCCACTAGGCCCAGTCCCCATCTGGCTTCTGTCTGGGTGGGGCAGGTGCATGCATTAACTAGTCTAACTGGCCAGGAGGTCCATGGGAGAAACTTAAAGGACATTAGCAGCTAGAGGGGGGAGAGCACAGGCAATTCTATACATTTAAACATTGAAATGGATAATTTAAGAATCAAATGCAAGAGTATGCAAATGCCCATCTGCTACTAACATCTCTATCTTGCCAACAACAGAGTTGTTCTCAAATTAGAATGATCTCAAATGTCAAGTTGTCCACCCAATCTGTAGGCAGGTTAAGGGTGGCTTCTTGGTTTACAGATGAGATCTGAAGTTCAGAGGGTTGACATGACTTGCCCAAGGGCACTAAATCAGGGACTGCTGAGACAGCTGCTACCATTCCCCTACTAACTGGCAGGTGCATGAGTGCTCATGAGGCTCAGAACATTCCTAACAGGGGGCATTGCTGTCGACTGGACACAGCCACTGTGATTTGTGCCACACCCAACTCACACCCTATAGTTTGCCAGAGCCCTACCTCTCTGTTCCATGGAGATGCCTCCAGGAGTACACCAGGGTGGCCAGCCAACCCTCTGAGTCTTGATGTCACCTATCCAAATTCCACTAAGCATTGTAAAGTCCTCCCTGGCCTGGAAAGCATGAGGCCATCCCACTTCATGCCCGAATGTGTCTGCACAAGCCATGTGGACTCAAGTCATGGCTCTACCACCTCCTGGCTATGAGGTCTTATAAGTGACCTGATTAGTGTTCTTATCTGTCATATGGGGATCATAAGAGCCTCTGTGTGAAAGTGTTGCTATGAGGATTAAGTACAGTAATGGCATTTGGTACAGTGAGCACAAAATAACTGGTCCATGTGTTAGTAAGACATTTCCCTCATCATAGTCACTGTAAGGATTGAACTAGCTGAGAAATATAAAGCACTCAGCAAATGCTTGTCTTATAGTAGGGCTCCCTAAATAAGAGCTATTTTTTTTTTTGAGACAGAGCCTCAAGCTGTCTCCCTGGGTAGAGTGCTGTAGCATCACAGCTCACAGCAACCTCCAACTCCTGGGCTCAAGCGAGTCTCCTGCCTCTGCCTCCCAAGTAGCTGGGACCACAGGCGCCCGCCACAACACCTGGCTATTTTTTGGTTGCAGCCGTCATTGTTGTTTGGCGGGTCCGGGCTGGGGATTCGAACCCGCCACCTTAGGTGTATGTGGCTGGCGTCTTAGCCACTTGAGCCACAGGCGCCGAGCCAATAAGAGCTATTATTATAATGATAAAGTTGTCAAACACAGTACAGAAGCAGTAGATTTTCCCCAGGAAAGGGCTGGAGAAGAGCTGCATGTCCCTGCTGCCGCCCTGTGGGTCCCAGCACGCCACTCACAGCTCAAGGATGAGCACCACGTCGGTGCGGTCCTCGTAGACGTCATGCAGCGTGATGATGTTGGGGTGCAGCACCTGCCGCAGGATGCTCACCTCCCGCTCGATCTCCTCCCGGCTCACACCGCGCCGGCTGGCCCGGCTCTGCCGCTTCTTGATGAACTTGGCTGCATACTCCAGCCCCGTGCTCTTCTCTCTGCACTTCTTCACAATGGCAAACTGGCCACTGGGAGACACAGACCCACACGATTAGGATGTGACTCTAACTCAAAGTCACTCTGCCAAGACAGAACAGATCATCTACCAGACGGCACCCCCACCAGGCTGATAGCAGTGAGAGCAGTACTGAGATGGGGCAGTACTGGGCTTCCCCTCTCTTCTCATGAATCCTGTTCCTTTTACTAGGAAGGAGTGTTAGTCTTCTTGGTGCATGGGGTGAACACTAAGGTACGGAAAAGTCACTGGTCTGGATGGCACTTGCTCAGTGAGAACCCAAGTCTCGTCTCCACCAGATGAAATCACAATGTCTGTAAGCAGGCTGGGTTGGCGGGGGTGCTGGTTTGGGCACAGGTTGGAGTGGAGGCAGCTTAACAAGCTAAATCATCACAGTGGGAGACCATCACAGTGAGAGGACTAGCATGACCCCAGAGTTGTAAAGTTAGGAAACTGAGGCACATGGAGAGGTCAAGGGACTTGCCTGATGTAATCACAGAGTTAATGGAGAAATTAAGGCTCAAAGTTAGACAAGCAGCTGTCCACAAAGCCTCTGAGACAACTTAAGGAATCCAGAGCATGCTTAGTCCCCTTGAGGTGCCAGCACCTAGGCTTGGCCTGGAAATCCTTCATTCCAGGGACCAAGACAGCAACCCCAAAATGATGTCCATGCCACAGGGGACAAAATGATGTCCGAACCAGCTTCCCTGAGCACTCCAAGGGAGCCCACCCTGGGGGAAGGATGGAGCCTTCTGCTGTTCCATCTCACTTCTGGAAATCAGCAGGAACAAACGGAAGTCCCTGCAGCCTCCCTAGTGGCTGTCCCTCCTGGGCAGCCTTCCAGTTCCTTTCCACCACTGCCCGCTGTTGCCCCATGATTTCTTACTACCCCAACTGCCCACTGCTTGCAGTAACTCAGAAAGTTTTATAGTTCAGCTTAATAAAGGGCCACCAGACTTAGGATACGCGCTCTTCTCTTAGAAACTCTGAAGCAGAAGTGAATGAAATGCTCTGGATATGTAGTATTTGCCCCAGCCTCAGAAAATAGCATTGCATCTGGACCACTCCATTATTAGAATAATCCTCAGTGGACCAGGCATGGTGGCATACACCTATAATCTTTTTTTTTTCTTTTGCTGGGGCTGGGTTTGAACCTGCCACCTCTGGCAGATGGGGCTGGTGCCCTACTCCTTTGAGCCACAGGCACCGCCACACATACCTATAATCTTAACACTTTGGGAGGCCAAGGAGGGAAGACCCCTGGAACTCAGGAGTTCAAGACTAGCCTGAGCAAGAGTGAGACCCCATCTCTAGTACAAATAGAAAAAATAGCTGAGCATTACAGCAGTGCCTGAAGTTCTAGCTACTCAGGAGACTGAGGCAGGAGTATGTGGCTGACACGGTAACCACTGTGCTATGGGTGCCGAGCCAGTGAGACAGTTTTCAAAATAACCTGAGAAGCAATAACAACAAAAAAGTCAAGTTGAGTAAGCATTGGAATAGATATGCCAACACTTTAATAACGTTCTATAGCAACCACGTTAGAGATGTCACCAAACACAAACTCAAGTATCTCTCTATCCTTTTATCCTCTTTTCACTCAGCACTGTCTGAGCATCTCCTCTGTGCCAGGTTCTGTGCTAGGCAGTAAGGGACAAGGACCAAAGGCACAGACAATGAGCACAGAGAGAGTTCTGGGGAGGGAGACATCCCCGGGGGCCAGGCTGGGCAGGGAAGGCTTTGTGGAGCCAAATTTATGTCACATTGTCCACTAAATATTTGCAGCTATTTAGGCCCCAAATATTGGCTCTGAGCTGTCCACACACTAGAGGCTGACGCAGGTGGAGTGAAGCCAGGCCTCTCAAAGCCAGAGTGAACACATTCAGTGCAATCTCTAACACAGATGGTCGCTTGGAGCCACTCTGGGCCTCGGGGACATTGGGTGCCTTCGTGGGTGCCAGCAAACACTTGACAAAGCTTCCAGTCCCAGGCATCTGTGAGTCTCGGTGTCAGGGGCCACGCTCCTCTCCTCTCCCTCTGACAGACACCTCAAGGGGCAGCTGGCAGGGCCTGGCATCTCAGAGTGCCCATGACCTTTCCACAGCAGCTCTGAGTTCTGACAGGGAAAGCAAAGCTTAATGATTTTATGCATTGCATTAAAGTTTACAGAGTACACAGGTGATAGCTCAGGGTTTGGCTTGGCATATAAGTCCCCCAGTCCCACACCATGTTGACAATGTTAGGACATGTGAAAGGGAAAAAAGGGCCCCTTGTTGTTTTTCTGAGACAGGCGCCCACCTCAACGTCTGGAAAGCTTTTCTATTTTCAGTAGAGACAGCATCTTGCTCTTGCCAGAGGCTGATCTTGAACTCCTGAGCTCAAGGGATCCCCCTACCTCAGTTTCCGAGAGTGCTAGGATTACAGGTGTGAACCACTGCACTCAGCCACAAAAGAGATTTTTGGAAAGTAGAGCTAAACATTTCAGATCACCTTGACATAGCTTTCCCTTTGTCTTACCAGGGAAACAATGCATTTTTTTTTTTTTAACATCACATGCCTAAAAAATTTCTCAAACTCTCAAAAGGCAAATGAGTGTTTATTTTTCCTGCCTGAGGTTTCTCTTTGTACGAGAGCTGTGCCAATGAGAGGTAACAGGGTTAGGCCTAATGTGCAGGCAGCTTCCCCCCTCCAGAGGGAAGTATTTTGTGAGTTTGGCAATACCACTCATCTTGCCTCTCTTCATGGGATGGTGAGGGGGCCTCAGGCAGAGCCAAGGCCTTGGCTGATTTCTTCTCTCTTCTGGCTATTTCTACAAGAGTAGAGAATACTCTCCACCAGGCCCAGGTCCCAGGCTTCAAGGTCCAACAGGCCTTCAATGGTCTCATGGACTTATACGCTGTCACCTGGGACAAGTCGTTATCTGTTCTAAGCCTCAGTTTCCTTATCTGTAAAATGGGAATCAAGATTCCCTGCTAGAGAACTGTGAAGACTGGAAATATTTTCAGGATTGGCCTACAGTCAGTATTAATAAATGGATCATGTGAGGATTAATCAGGAAGTACCCACAGACATGAGTCACTGATTCAAATGGTCTAGAACATGTAACCAGGGAGTCAGCTTCATTTAAAAAACTCCCAGTGATTCTAATACACAGCCAGATGTGAAAACATCTCTGTTCCAAGCAATTAGCCATCTCTTTTTTTTTTTTAATTTTTATTTATTTATTTATTTTGAGACAAAGCCTCAAGCTGTCACCCTGGGTAGTAGAGTGCCGTGGCATCATAGCTCACAGCAACCTCCAACTCCTGGACCGAAGTGATTCTCTTGCCTCAGCCACCCAAGTAGCTGGGACTACAGGCGCCTACCACAATGTCTGGCCATTTTGGGGTTGTAGTTGTCATTGCTGTTTGGTAGGCCCGGGCTGGATTCAAACCCACCAGCTCTGGTGTATGTGGCTGGTGCCTTAGCTGCTTGAGCCACAGGCACCGGGGCCATTACCCAACTCTTTTAATCCTAAAGCAGTGGTTCTCAACCCTGGCTACACACTGGCATCTCCTGGGGGCATTTTACAACTACTGGTGTCTAGGTCTCACTCCCAGAGAGTCTAATCTCCTGGGCCTGGGATGCAGCCTGGAGATGGGGAGATTTAAAAGCCCCCTGGGTGACAGATGTGCAAGTGGGGTGAGGACCACTGACATACAGCAGCTCTCTGATCATCTTCATGTCCTAGGCAAAGAAACTATACCACCATTACTCATGTTATTCCCTGTCCTTTTCAGTATTACACTTTCCAGCAGTTCCTTGACCTGACCATTGAAGGGAGAGAAAGGGAATCAGAGAGCAGCACTTGTCTCCTCTGTCAGCACAGTTTTTTTGCTTCAGTAGGGCAAAAATCTCACTGCCGTGAAATTAATTTAAAAATCAAGACAGATTATGCTAGACTCGTGTTTTTCAACCTTTTTGGTCTTATAGCATACTGGAACCTATAGTTAAACTTCTATGGCACACTTATGTTGATCAAAAAGTAAAAAAGAAAATATACTTACTGTAGTTTGAACTTCTTTCAAAAACAATTTAATTAATGATCTTTAAAAATGTTTGCGGTGGGCCGGGTGTGGTGGCTCACGCCTATAATCCTAGCACTCTGGGAGGCCAAGGTGGGTGGATTACTTGAGCTCAGGAATTCAAGACCAGCCTGAACAAGAGACTCTGTCTCTCTAAAAACAGAAGAAACCAGCTGATGCTGTGGCGGGTGCCTGTGGTTCCAGCTACTCGGAAGGCTGAGGCAAGAGGATCACTTGAGCCCATGAGCTTGAGGTTGCTGTGGGCTGTGATGCCATGGCACTCTACCAAGGATGACAAAGTGAAACTCAGTCTCAAAAAAAAAAAAAAGGAGAAAAGAAAAGAAACAAAATAGCCAACTTTGCAGCACACCTAACATCCTCTCATAGAACACCAGTGTGCCCAAGCACACCACCAGCTGAAAATCACTGCTCTAGGGTCTGGGGGACAAGAGTGAGAGTGTGCAGTTGAGTACTCCCTGGCCACTGTATCCACAACAGATGCACAAAAGCAGAATGCGAGGGTGGTTCTATTATGCCCATCAGAGGGCACCAGCAGACCCAAGGGCAGAGGTAAAGACAGTGATGGTAACAGGGGCTGTCTGCACACCAGGAAGGCTCTGCAGCCAGAAGTCAAGGCCCCACGGTGTAGAAGTCACCCTGCTAGGCCATGGGGTGGGGGGTTGGAGGAGAGGGCCCACCTAGGGTAAGACAGAGCCACTCAGTGTGTCATGGGGGGAGGGAGCAGAGGAGAGCTATTTGATCTCTCATGAAGGTCACTGCCAAAACTAATTCAAAAACTATGGATATTGTAACATCGATACACATATGGGAAGCACACATATTCAATCCCTCTCCCTTTCTCCATAGCAACAGTTGAAACCTAATCTGTGGTCTAATGTAGCAAAGGGCTAGTAGTCAGGAGTCCTGATTGCTGGTCCGACCTGCCTTC